AGGGGTTCCTTGTAGAATTTGGGTTCAGGTTTGGCGGCTATCCGTTGGGAAGTTTCGGAACCATCGCACACCGGACTGGCCAAGCAACATTATGCGAGTGTGTGCATAGCCACAACTCACCACAAGCGAGCCCCGCCGGCAAGGCTGCTCAAAACAAGCAGGAAATCTTGGCTCCGAGATTCTTCCATCTTTCTTCCATCTTCGCGGACCGCTGCTGCGAATTCACGGAGGAGCCGGTTTTGTAGCAAGATTGCTTCAACCTCTGATAAGATTGCCTTCTCTGCTATTTTGCTTTAGACACATATTTAAAGCATTATAAGCACTGGTTTGTGTGTCGGTCAAATCGATCTTGTGGTTTTGCCCGCCTACGTGGATCGTTCTGCATGGACAACACGATTGCAGTCAAGTAGATTAGACACCTACTGGCACAATTCGCATGTGCTTGTATTGAATTGTTGGGTAGCTTGCGGCTAGAAGGCGTTCCTTTGCAGCCTCAATGGCCCTCCGAGTTCGGCAGATTCTGCAACGTTGCAGGCTTGACTGCAAGCGAGACATAAACCCTCCGATCCCTGGAGGGTGGTTTGGCCATCTTTAAGTTGGTCGGAGGTCATTTGGCCATATGACCGTGAAAAAGAACTATGCCCGTGAAAAGGGTATATGGCCGTGAAAAGGCAGGTTCGTGAAATTCACGTTCTGCTTCCTTGGCTGTACCATATGGGATGTACAGGCATGTACAGGCATTTTGGCTCAAATAACTTTTTGCGTGAGAAAAACTGTTTAACCTTAATACCTTATCAACAGGCATTCTGGCTCAGATTTGTTGTGGGCGACAAAAAAACCAACCCCCACAGAACCCCTATGATGAAAACCTCCTTATATAAGCCCTACCCTAAAACTAAATCCTAAGCACCCCTAAGCCTTAAAACCTAAACCCTTCCTGCTGGGAATCAAACATCTGCTTGTGTTCGGGGGAAGGGCATTGAGCAGCAGGGCTTTATCTTAAGTCTTGAGGATCATTCACACTATCACATTTGACCTTGGAGCTGCTCAACAAATTGCAGGCAGACGTGTAAAGAGGGCGGACACTGAAATCCCAGATTCAAATCTATAGTGCCTTCTTATACTACAAGCCCCAGAATCTTTCACGGGTTCTACGGATTATAATTACAAATGGATATAGAAGCACACCGACCCAAATCTCAAAAGGATGGACATAATGCCTCGAGAGTTCCCCAGGCTTCAGATCTTAAGATCTCAATATTATAGGGGTACAATTCTTCAAATTGTATTATTCAAACCCTGATAACTGTAGTCTAGGCCTTAGTACTATACAGTATATAGCTAGGTCGAAGAAGGTGAGGTAGATCTGCTCTCCATGGATCCTGCGCGGTGACGCTTTCGAGTGTGGAGGAGGTGCCACGGGTTTTGGGGCAGGTTAGAGTGCTCAGGGCTGCTGCAAGCGCATTCTGAGTTAATTGCAGTACTCAGCATCAAACATTTCTTGTTCTTGTTGTGGCAGCTGTGCAAGTCCCAAGTTGCCCCAACAATTTGCTCTGATGAGTACCCACAGGAGGAGTCCAACAGGTGAAGGTCCGAGGATGAGGTCGATGCCTGGGGGGACTGGTGCGCTGGCGGTCGCTTGAGGCGACATCCTTATCGTGAATGAGGGGGTCAATAACGATGGCGGCGGAGCTGAGGCCAAAGGCCAGGGTCGGGAGATCAAAGGGGGCAAGGGCAACTCTGACAAAGGAGGTCACAAGGGGCGTGATCATGATCCAGCTCCTGGAAAGGGAGATGGCAGAAAAGGAGAAGATGGTAAAGGAGAAGGCGCTGGTAAAGGAGATGGTGGTAAAGAAGGAGATGTCGTGAAAGGAGGAAAAGGAAAGAAAGGCTTCAATGCTTTAAGAGGTATAGTGATCCATGCAGCTCGTTCTTGAGAACCAGAGTCTAATTGGAGCCTGTCATGCGTCCTATTTAAGCTGGCACATTATTATCTAATCTCAATAGCTCGAACTGCATCGAATAGGTTGCTCAGTGCCATGGCTGTACAGGCTTTTTTGCGAAAATCAACTTTATCGAGTCATGCTCTGCCCACACTGATGCCATGCTACTTGTTCAATCTGATCAAGTCTTATCCTGCAGGTGCTGATGATCACTATGACAAGTTCGAGGTGCGCCCAGCCAACACATGAACTTCAATGATATGGGATGCATAGTTAAGCAACTAAACCCTGCATATTATACACCCTAAACCCTATATACAGCCTAAATCCTCAAATGATGCCTGCCGTAAAGGGTATACGTGAATCCACTAGGGCCGGCCCATATCATCCTGCAGGTACTCGATCGAGCGGAGATTCGTCGGCGCATGGTGCGCTCACCTTTGCATTTCGTTGACTGGAGCTGTAGAATGATAAGGATCTACTTGAAGGGGAATCATAAGCGGGGTTCTGAGGTAATTGTTGGGGCCATTATTAGGGTACCCTCTTTCAAAATAATCCTGCCCCTTTAAATGCCAGCCTCCAGTTCTGATATTTCTGAAGTTTCTCCTACAGACACATCCCTAATATTAAATATGTCTGTGTCTGGAGCTACTATCGTTAGGGGGGATGCGTTTGAATATCAGGGGCAGCGATTAGAAACTTCACTAGAGATGTTGGCAGGTACGACTGTGGGATGTGGTCCACAACTACAACTTCACAGCAGGTGCGCCAACCTCTTTCAAGCCGCAGCTCTTAAGTAATTTGTAGATAGCTAGTGGGTTTTTAGGAAGGTTGGACTTCTTGGGTGATAGATAGCTAGTGGGTTTTTAGGAAGGTTGGACTTCTTGGGTGATAGATAGCTAGTGGGTTTTTAGGGAGGTTGGACTTCTTGGGTGATAGATAAGATTAGTGGGTTTCTAGAACGGCTCGACTTCTTGGGTGTAGATCCGTGCAATGAGATTGCGTGAACCTTCTTCGCGTAGGGGGGAGATTTATCCTTTACTTTCTAGATATCATGTTCTTCTTTGTTGTCGGCCAAAGCTCGCTTAAATTGTTGAGGGCATATTTGTGAAAAAGGGGTCTCTGATATTCTGAACGTTGCTGCTGCTTTGCAATGCTTGATCACATCATGTTACTGTTCCTTATGGTGTTTGGCCCCAAGGTTTTTGGAGTAGACTTTGACAGGCGACTCAATGTAAGGGTCTACAAGGACGTAGAGGTTCTTAGCAGAATAGTAGCCCAATACCAGGCCAGATGGAAAGCATGCGCTTGCTAAGCCCCATGCAATCTCACTGTATTCTAGGATACTCTGATAATGCCGACTCCTCCGTCTGAAGCTGCAATTGCTGCGCTGGTCAAGAGCTACGGAGAGGAGCTACATCTTGATCATGTTGCTCAGATTGAGATCTCAACATGTCAACATTTCGGCAATCCCTTCCCCTCAAAAATAATGTTACACCCCCGTTCCCCTGCCTAATGTATATAGCCCTGCAGTGCTTTTGTTTTGAATACGGGGGATATAAGGGGATCTGGACTATAGGAGGGGTGCGAAACCGGGTTCTATAGCTCCCTCAATCAAATCCATGCTACTTTAGTAGGGCGTCCTTATAAAGACAATTTCAGGAGAATTCTGATACAAATTTCTGTTAAGTATTGAAAGGGGGGCAGCCCTTATAATCCATAGGATCTGGCTACCTGTTAAAAGTAGTCTTGCCTAGTAATCTATAACCTTGGGGGGCATTTTTGGAGAATGTGGCATTTTGGGCTAGCCGTACTTCTTAGGGCGTGGTTGATTATAAGCGGGAGTGATCAGGAGTAAATCCTAATGCTCAGGTTGGAATGGCCTTCGTTATTGACCATAGCGGACGCTTGTTTACTGGAAAGAAGTGTTCTCTCCGTGATATAGCGCAGAATCAGGATGCTACTTGGAGGCATATTTCAAACTTGGGTGCAGTAGTGTGCGACCTTGCTTTTGAAGATCATCTGATTTGCTTAGGTCGTATATGCCACTATGAAAGGTGCAATGGTTCGTGTCCAGAGTGCACACTGCATTGCTGCAGCAATATGCCGCCACTACAAAAACAAAAACCTATTTCCAAGGGGCATTACACCGGAATTGGAATGCACACAATCGTGGGCTTTGCGGATGGGAGGGGCGGTCAAGCGCCTTGTGGCCTTTTTGAATTGGGAAGGTTTCTTCTGTATCCCTCAACACATATATTAGTTGTCAGGTTAGATTGCTCTAGCTAATTCTAAGGTGGGCAGAATGAGAAGGTTGATGAAGAGGGCATGGTCCAGCAAACTCCACCGGCTTAATCCCCTGAGATCTCGCATTTCTGCGTTGAAGATTCCGGGTCTGGAAGCTCGCCTTACAGTGTAAACCACTTCGGTCTCCATTAAAACCCTTTGACCCAGCTCAGGAGCCCAAGATGGCCCCGCCTGCCGCGATCTCGAATGATGAGGAGTCAAATGCCGACGGCTTCGGGGGTGATAGTGGCCTGTCCGAGCTTTCTGTGGGGATGACGTCGTGCACTACATCTTCATGGTTCCCTGATGCAATGTCTAGATCTGATAGCAACATCAGTCGTGTAGCCAAACAATTGGAGGACTGCAAGATCTCTCTAGAGGACTCCACGAAGGCTCCCAGTGATTGCGGTTCTGTTAGAAGCCTACGCTGCTTTCTTAGCTCAGCAGGCACTTCTAAAGGGCAGGCGCGCAATGTGCCAAAAAAAGATGATGGCCATGATGTTTGTTCTGGAAATGGCAAGAACCTCTTGAAAGTCGTGGATCTTCCAAGCTATGCTTCTTGGCTTATGGCTTATGGTTAGGTACCTAGACTTTTACTGCGTATTCTTGTCAAAAACTTTGCAGGCTAGAGGTCATGACCTAACAAGTTGCTCAACCTAGGTCAGGGAAGGGTTGCTTCAAGCAGCTTCTACTCGAGCCCCTGATGCTGTTGCGGTCAGTGAGCAGTATGTAAAGGCCTCGCCTCCAGACAGCGAGGGTGATGATGAGGAGCGTGTAGATCCAGGCCCCAGAGTCCTCAGCAAGTTCTTGTCAGTCAAGTTCCGGAATGCTTTGGGCAAGCAAGGCTCTACGACTTCAGAGAAATGCAAGGTCAAAAGCAAAGCTAAATTCAGGATGAGGAATCATGCCAAGGCCCCCGAGGCTCCCAAGAAAGCCAACAAACCCGAGACAAATAATTCTGGTGCGTCGTGCGAGTACAAGCCAGGGCTCTTTGAGGAGGAGCGGCAGATTTTCTTGCTTCAGGCTAAGGCTGATGGCCTCAGCCATAAAGAAGCCCTGGGTGCTTGGAAGGATTCTCCCCAGCGTGCCAAGTTTCTCTGCAATTTGTCTCTTCCAGAGCTTAAGAGACGTAGGTTTGTGCCGAAGGGCTGTGCCGCGAATCCTTTTGTTGCGGTTGCTGCGTTGGGAGGCTAATTAAGAATTTTCCACCTGCTGTGGATGAACTGTGGCGCGCCAACATGCGGTGCCAGGAAATTCATGATCCAGCCATGTGTGATTTCACATAGGCGTGTTCGATCATATTCGTGAGCAGTTCCAAGTACGTGTGCGTGCTTCAGAAACAAATAAGGGCCCCACTCCTTTTGCAACTTCATTGCTTTTTCTGCTACAGCCTGCAGCCTGCGCCAGCTTGATGCCTTTTCCGAGCATGAGCTTAAGCCATGTGATTGTTGCAGCTTTTTTTCTAGCCTTCAGCCACTGGAACCTACCGTAGAAAAGAGAAGCCGTTGACAGGGAATATGGTTGTGGCGGAACTTTTAGGCGTGGATGCGCCTCCTGTCCTCATCCTCATAGTCTTGCTGCTCACGTTCAATACGGCTTTGGACAAGAAGCAGGAACTCCCTTGGGCCCCACAATTCCTAGAGCTAGTGTGTAGATTCGTTAACCCAGAAAGTGATTTAAAACTATTCGTCTTTTTGGAGGATGTTGTGCACAAAATGGCCAGGAATTAGAGACCTCAGAATGGTACTCAGCGCGTTATCTCTTCTCTTAACTTTATGGAGGCCTATACGTACTCTTCCCAGGTCTGAAGCCCTTTACTTGTACCTCATGTACGTTACCAAAACCCAGGCCCCAATCCCAATCCCCCACCCACCCCCACCCACCCCCTGCTAGGACCGTGAGTTTCTGGAGCTATTCGCAGGGGAAGCGGCTGTCACCGAAGCCCTCCGTGCTGTTACTCACCTCCGAAATAAACTGTTTGCAGTATATGTTTCATTCCCCTTCAGATCCAGAGTTGTTGGGAGTCCCAATAAGAGTATCTTAAGAATATTGCATCCCAGGCTCGCTATCGCGGCGTCGCCATTGATTGGGAGATGGACAGACGGACCATGAATCTCCTGGAGCCCGCTGGGTTCTGGTAGCTTTGGCAGGAGTAGGTTGGTGAACATATTAAGTGCCATTCTGATAGAACTGTCAGTGCTAAAGTAGCTCTTGTTGGCCTTGGTTCAACTAAGTTTGGCCCTCTTACAGCTGCTGCGCTGCCGGGTTGGTGCACTGGTCATCATTGCCCTGGACTGTAGGAGTTTCTCCACCATGCGGGGGCCCCGGTTTTAATCTATCACTTGGGGTGTATACGATACTTCTCTGTTCCTATCCTTCAATTACAAAGTTTACCCTATGCTGGCTCAGGAGCCGGTATACGTCAGGGCGCTCCGTGATCAACCCATGGGGCTATTGCCAGCGTGGTTTCGTTGCCGACGGCAATTGCCTGTCTTCAAGAGTGGCTTTAGTCATTCATCTCTGCCAGTGCTTGAAGTTACGCTGGCTTCTTGAACAACCAGATGGTTCCATACTACCTGCTCTACCTCGCTACCAACAATTATGGAAGAAGTTCAGAGCGCCTTGTTAGATGAGGTATTAATTGAAAGAGCCAATCTGTACCAAGCTTCCCTAGTGGAAAATCCGGAATCCTACATTGTAACTAAGGTATGGCAGACAAGCTTTTGGATGGGGAGATTTAACGGGCCAAGCCCGAAAAGGCATCGGCTCTGGAGTAACGACTTGAGTATCCTGGAGGCAATCCACTTCAAAGCTGGTCATATGCTACGTTCGGAGATGCAAAAATGCAACAAACAACTGGTGGAGATCTACACGGATGTTTTAGGTGTGAAACGTCGGGTGGGAAAGAAAAAGGAGCTGAAAGACAGCCAGCATCTCGACTTAAATGTTGACGTACGGTCTTCCTATAAAGCTAGAGCCACTGAATACACGCCCCCAAATTTGAAGGCCTGCCCATTAACTCTCGCCTGAGCTTGCTCGCCCAAGGACATACCCGAAGGAGTTCGGCCAGTTCTTGGCGCGGATGTTTGGTGAGTTGGTGAAGGCTAGGGTCTCAAGGGTTGACTTTTAAACACTGATGCGCGTAGCAGGAGTAGGAAGTGATGTAACGTAGAGAGGTTGGTCCCCAGGGTAAGGTCAGGATTGTAGGTCTTTTTATTTCAGAGCAAGTGCTTCTTGTCTAGGTTTCGGCTAGATCATGTACTGCGTCTACAGGTCTGAGGGCCATTAGTATATGCAGCTCTTACCTAGGGACCTAGGGGAGTGGGTTTGTACTGGGGCTTATTAGACTTGCAGAGTTGGGTTGTGTAGGTAAAAGGAGGAACTGCAGCGAAATCACAAGCTTTTGTTTGATCCGCTACGTGCTTCGCTGGCAAAGCCTGCCTGAGCAAGCCCTACCCAAGTCCCCTTGAGTTGGATAAGTAGTCTGTGGAGGGCAAGGGCTAATGGGGTTGGGCTAGTTACAGCTAGTTCATGAATACGACCGCAAACCTGTGCCCCAACCCTAACCCAACCCCAAAATTTTTAAAAGTAGTCTGCCAAGGATTTGGGGTGTTGGACTACTTTAAAAAACCCTGCTGGATCAGCCTGCCAAGCAACCATGTTGAAAGCAAAATTGCAACCCCCACAGACTGCTCAACGTTCCTTTGTCGTATGTATTGCCTGATATATGACTTAGCCTAGGAACAAAGCTTGCCTAGGTGCCTTTCACAACCATCACCGCAGCGAGCACCGCTACTTCTGTGGATGTACGGCTGACTGATCTAGAGCTCTTTCAGAAGCACTGCTTGGGCGACGGTAGTGTGGGACCTGGAGGTGACCTTTGGGAGGACGACCCACGATTGCTGCAATACTTTAATATCCCCTGCCCTACACAAACTCCATACATGAAAGTTGTGAACTCTACATGTTCTGTCTGTTTGCCCCTAAGAGCAGATTCTCCTGGAAAAACCTGCGAACTTCCTCTTGCTAAGAAAATACGTACTCTAACCCCTTGCCTGTGACATTCTGGACAAGTTCCTTTCAGGTAAGTATGGCAAGGATTCTGCTTGGGAAGTAACCATAGCACAGCCCTACCTGGAGAAAACCATGGACTTTCAAAATAAACCTGGATCCCTCTTTAAAGCCGAGGCTGACCTGTTCAGGGTTCTCCAGTACTTGAACTCCAAGTACGTGAAAGCTCCTGGCCAATGGGCGGTGTGGGTTGCACTTAACATGGTCTGCGCCAAATTAATGCTAGAGGGCACTGAGGGCACACTAGCTGTTTTTTGTCTTGCAGCCTAGGAAACTCTTCTGCGTGGCATTGGCTTTCTTTAGAACCAGCAGAACTGCTGGCGCGACTGTGGAACGTGAAATTTCACATTAATTAGTTTGAGGGTCTGCTGGGCCTGTGAAATTTGTTTCTGGTTTGCCGGGGCCTTGCAAGACTTACCCCGTGAAAAACCGTTACTTGACCGTGTGGCAGCGTGTCTTGAACACGAAAAAGCGTGATTCACGTGATTCACATTTTCACACTCTAGTGGGCATGTTCATGACTGATAAAGGTAAAACGACGTGAATTCTATGTATCTTAATATTTCTTAACCCTCAATTCACGTTTCACGTTGCTGTCCCTGCTGCTTCATGCTACCATTGCGCAAGCTGCATTTCACGTTTTTCACGTGGTTTCATGTGAAAATGCTTTCTGTCGACAGGAGGCGTGAATTCATGCACTGCGTGAATTCACATGCTTGCTTGAGCTGTGTGGCTATATTAGCTATTTTAGCTTTTAATCCGTTGTGCGACATGGGAAAGAAAGCCCTCAGTCTGGCGCAGAAGGCGCAGTATGAAGAGGTCATGAAAGCTTTGAAGGACAATGGGGTCCTGCAGACTGCTGTGCGTTCCAACAAACGCAAGCAGTCTGATACTGAGCCTGCTGAGCCACTGGCGCCCAAGACCAGAGTCAGGGAGAAGAAGCCAGACAAGGATTCGGAAAAGGATTCCAAACCTGACCCAGCCCCAGCAACCAAGGGAACAAAGCGTGGCAACCCCGAAGAGCCCAAACCTAAGGCTGCGAAAGCAAAAGCCCAGCCACCCAAGTCAACCTCAGAGAAAAAGGGAGCCAAGAAAGCCGCCCCAAAGGATGACGATGACGATGACGATACTAAGTCCTTCTTTGATGAAGAGATGCAGGTGCATGTGAGTTGGCGCAACTATGATGAGGTTGTGAAGGTGATCTGCGAACACTGCCCCAAGGAAACCCCGGCTAGTGTCAAGGCTGCGCTCACAGAAGCCCTTGGGCCCTGTCCTCCAGACGTGAAGCTTCCGGCTGAAGCGGTGCCAGCGGCCTCAGAGGAGCACCCAGGACCTATCCTAGAGGATGAGACCCTTGGGGAGAGGGATGATGGAAATCACGAGTGTGAGGAAGAAGAGGAATTGGAGGAGGATGAAGAAGTTGAATCGCAGGATGAAAACGAAAAAACCACAACAGCGGGAAACAAGAAAGCAAGGCAGGATGCGAAGGACAAGCAGGTAGGACAGGAGAAGGACGTTACCAAGGTAAAGGAGGGGGCAAAGGAGAAGAGGACAAGAGCGGAGTCCCCAAACCGGGAGGAGGTAGCAAAGAAAAAGAAGGCTCCAAAGGAAAAGGAGGTAGCAAAGGAAAAGAAGGCTCCAAAGGAAAAGGAGGTAGCAAAGGAAAAGAAGGCTCCAAAGGAAAAGGAGGTAGCAAAGGAAAAGGCCCCAGACGCAGTGGTCAAGTCGATTACGTGGAAGGATCTTGAAGACACGCAGGTTGACACGCAGGCCTTACTTTGAACAGCACTCTTCATGCTCTTAAACCGGGGTTTAAGCCGCTAATGAATTGACAGCTATCTGTGCCTACAGGAGTCGCCCCACAAGATTCTGGATGCTACCCCCGAGACCCCAAAAGACAAGAAGGTGCTGCGCTTGAACTCCCTTGACCTACTTGGCTCAATCCAAAATTACACCTGCTAGGTTCAAATCGTTTTTGCGTGAACCTGAGGTCCTGCACCACACTGAGACTGGGGTCTGATCAGGCGGACAAGCAAGCTTACTTGGGGCGACCTCCCTCGGTGGTAGCCTGTGAGAAGCCTAACTGGGAAGAGGAGAGTGATCTGTGCTCTGGCTTTCTTGATATGCTACTAGCTTCAACTATTGTAATGCGCTACATTACATCGATTATTGCGTCAAAAAAATTGTACCTAGGCTGAGTACCAGCCCATCTGAGATCATAATGAACGCGGGCAAGCCGAGCGAAATTCAGACCCTGCTGAGCCAGCTCATCAAAGACAACCGGGATATGAAGCAGCAGCTGAGGGTGCTTCTCTGTGGTGAGCCCACGAAGCCGCGCAGCCCTACGGTGGATGAGTTTCAGAAGCAGTTTGAGCAAGACATGGAGGACGCCATGGAGGCTTCCAGAGCCAGCGCAGGGCTCTCAGCTTCATCAAAAGCTGGATCGCGTGCATCCAGCAGCAATGGAGATGAGAATGAGAAGGACACCGAGCCCCTTCCGGAGCATGAGCCCTCAAATCCTGGGGGACCTAAGGAGGTTGATGAAGAAGGCCCCACGAGTACTACGCACCGCAAAGAATGGATGGCCCTCTCGCGACGCATGGAGTCCCTTGACGCTGCGAAGTTTCCAGAGGTTGCAATGATGTGGGGAGCATCCCGGGCTGACGCTCAATCAAAACCTTCATGCCTTGATCTCCTATGTGTGTATGGTGTTTTGCCTATGACCTTAAATTGTATCTACCAAGGAAAAAAGGAAGCTGTTCCAGCAGTGGCTTTCTAACGACAAGAACATCCAGGCCACGGAGACGGCCCTAGTGATTAGCAAGGAAAAAGAGTCCGAGACAACCCGCAAGAAGGAATTCCTCACGATTGCAGAAATGGTGGCCAAAGGATTTTCCCAGAACCCTGACTACACACAGATACCCATAGAAACGTAGAGGTTATTACAGGATAATGTTAAGTGACAGTTGTCAAACATATTTTGCTAGTGCAACAGCTGAGGCGTAAAATTGAGACAGTAGTCCGGAGAGGAGGCGAACCGGACCCTGACGTTCCGGACGACGCTGAAAGCGTCAGATATTGGGTACATACGGGTGCCCACCTCCACGAGAAGGATAAGGAAATCCAAAAGGGGTCCATGCGTGTTCGGGTGAAGGGTACCTCGGACATAGCCGGGGCACTGCTGGGGTCTGACGGGCCTAAGCGTTTGGGGTCTGGCACGTTGGCCGCCCCGGGGGCCGACCACGCGCTCTCGCTTGTGGCAACCTTGTCAAGCACCTTGCCTGATAATCCTGACGTATGACCATTAAATTTGTTACTGGGGTTTCTGGGGCCCTTTGCCTAGAGCCTCTTGATTAATTGAGGTGGGAAGGGCGCCAATGCAAAGGGCAAGGCAGCTGCGAAAAAGAAGCCTACCAGCCAAGCTCCGAAAACGCCGCGTGAAGTGGAGGATGATATCCGAAACTTGATTTAATCATGTGTCTTCAATGACTCTGAAAAGTATTGCTGACCTATTTCCCTAAGGCAAAGAACTCAAGAAAGAGATCAATGCCTGCAACATCATCTATGACCTTCCGAAGAACTTGGAAATCAAAGACACCTTGGAGAACCGCAAGGGCAAGCTGGAGGAAGCACTTGATGTGTGCACTCCTCAAAAGCAATTAATGTGGTATGCAATCAGACAATGGACCAATGTGATTCTCCACTGTAGCTAGCTGAGGCTGAATGGCATGGCCGAAGAGGATTTGGCAGACTATGCAACGGAGTGCGCTGACCTCGCTGCTTGGAGTCTTACTACCCAAATGAGCCAACTAGTGTAGGAATCATCTCTATTTGGGCTGGAAGTTCCTTCCACCCACCATGCAGTTACCCTAAAAACTTTAATGATAGGGTCATCTTGTTAGCCTAGGGCCCCCAAATCCCCCTCCCCCCGAAGAGCCCAGCTATCTTAATTTAGATCCCAGACAACACGCTAGGTTTCGAACACAGGTTATTAGAATGTACCGAAAGGCTTTTGCGCTATACTACTATAATTAGCTCTGCTATGTGAATCACTTTTATAATCTTAGGTATCCTGTGTCCCCATCTAAGGTTGAGGAAGCCAAGATTGTAAGGGTCCAGGCCCGTGCCATCGTGGCGGAGATTCGAAAGAAGCAGCAGCAGAGCGCCTGACGGAGCCGTGCAGTTTGAAGTGTTTACATCATCATCCAGCACTGGTCTTGAGATCCCCCATGTTAGGGCTAGCTGGGTAAGCTGCATGCGTAGCTTGTTTGGGGCATCAGGGATCTAGAACAGGGCCTTAGGCCTGGATGGTGTCAATTCTCATGGGACGGCTGTGGGATGAACCTACAGACGGAAGGGTTGCCTGAGATTGTGGAGTTGCTACAATGCAGGCGCTTTTTCAAGTTCGATCATGTCTGCCACATGTGTTGGCAAGCGCTACCTGCCGCTACCTACCTCCATCTGCTCCGCTGCAAAAAACCTGCATAGAGTAGGAGAGATTTCTGACGTCATTATGCAACACCCTTTGCACAAAAACTTTGAGCAAAACCATGCTATCCCTACGCAGGCAAGCGCTCTCATGGAGAACAGCAACGTGCCCTACTAGATGACGCGTCCCTCGATCCTATTACAACATAGGCAGTTATGCAACCATAGAAGGCAAATTCCCTGGCAACATCCTTCCGAGGTTTGCTGAATCCGTGGCTCGTGGCTACACTTCAGTCCGGCATATAGCTGCAGCTGCTTCTATCTATGACAGCGAACTCTTTGTGTGACTTAGCTGCGCAAATCAAAGGCACCTTCTCCATCATCTGTATCGCCATGTATATTCCACAAGACCTGGCCAGATAAGGAATGAGAAGGAGAAGGGACTCCACGAGAGAGCTGTTCGCATGGGTGTTTCGCTTCCAGCTGAAGTCACCTATGTCCAATTGCCATTGCAGAAATCAGCTACTGATCGTACACTTGTCTGGGAGAGTTGGCCATTCCTCATACCACACTTAATGGCCCCTAGATTAAAGAACAAGTTTCTGGAGCTTTTTGGGGGAATTGTAAAAGGAAATAGGCAACCCTCTAGCTTTGGCTACCTCCTGGAATGATAACTTCCCCTAGATTCAATGTACACCAGGTGTCTGCGATGGTGGATGCCGGGTATCTCTCTGAGCTGGTTGCTGATTTCGCTGCCCTACGAGAATATTGGAAGAGGTTCCTCATGGATTTCCCAGACCATCCTGTGGCAAATTCTCCAGCGCAGGACACAAATTGGGCATCACCTTATACAGTCTCTTGGGCACCAAGCAGTTGCTAGCATGGGGGCTAAAGGGTTACACCTCTCAAAATACGTGTTTCATTACATTTCCTGAATTTCGGGCCAATCCTGTTTGAACGTAATGTTGTACTTGATTGTTTGCCGCTTGATGCTAGCCAACAATAAGGCGACGAAGCAAACTGCTGCAACGCGTTATGGATGTACTTGCTCTGGACTTGTGATCATTCCCCTCACTTAACTGATAGCCCTGCGTCCAGAATGATCATAGCTGTCATTCCAGCGGCGCGCTACATTATTGATGATGCAACCGGAGTCAATATCACGCTGCAAACAGCGTGTCTCCACATTTGTGGAAGCTGCAATAAACTCTCTGAAGAGGGCGTGCCTCTTCGCGATCCCTCCACGGATGCTCTGGTGGCCTGGGAAGAACTAATGTTAATTCAAAGGGCTGCGGGTTCATAGTATAGGGCTAAGGGTTTTCAGGTTGAAGTTTAAAGTCCAGGTTTGGATAGTTTAAAGATGTTATGAGCTCCAGGGTTATTGCTGAGGGGCGTGTTCGAAGAGGGCTTTCCTTTTTTGGGATTTCAATTCTGTTTATTTTCAACGAATGTGTTTTTTTTGGTCGAAGACTGGTGAGAAATTTGCGTACATAAAATGATTCTGAATGAGGTCATGGATCTCAGGGCCTATGTGACTGGTTTCCGTGGGGACTGGAAGGCTCTGAAGCAAACCTTCAATTTCGCCAGGTATGCTGACAAGGATGAGGCCCAAGTATACTGCCCAGTAAATGAAATACATACTAACGAATATTCCCTTCCCCTAAAAAGTGTTCTAATTCTCCCCACATAATTAGCGCTCACCAGTATTTATTCTGATATGTAGTGTGGGGTATATACCTATAAGGGAGGTCAAGGCTAGCAGGGTGCGAAAACCTGGTCCAAACTTTGGAGTCTCCTCCACTCAAATCGCGGCTAATTTAGTAGCGCCTAAAGAAGATCAGCTTTGGATTCCAATCTCCATAACATTTCCAGATTTGATTGGGGATACAACCTACTCCCTATAATTCGGCCCTCTTCGAAAAGTAGTCTTTGCGTTTTACAAGTAGTCTTCGGGGGTGTGGAAGAAATTGGGATTCTGGGATTCCGGGCTACCTGTATCCATTGGAATGATATTCTCAGCGGGAACTGACTGCTTTGGCATGTGTTGTTCCAACTTATGTCCTTCAGTAGGGCCCCCTCTTGTATAAACAGGTAGTGGGTGTGCTGAAAAGTCAAAGGTACGTAATGGAGCCCCAAGAAAATTTCAATTTGATTTACATGGCGAAAGTACCCATCCTGAGACAAAATTCTGAATCCTAAGTTTACAGTAAGATCACTAAAGAACCTGTAATCCCTGGTTTCCTGGGATTGATTGCCCCTGCAGGTCTGCTGGATGTGCCTCGCTACAAAGGGGGCCACTGCTGATAGTTTGTCTATGTGCTACACGAATGTTAACGATGATGCGCCCTGGCTTGAGACAATGGGGGTTGTGCCATGGGAATTTACACCTGCGTACGCGCAGCTTACTGGTTTCCAGCTGACCTACATTCAACCTGATATTCTGCACTGCTGGCATCTGGGTACTGGAAGGGATCTTGCAGCGTCAGCTCTGGTGTTCATGGTCAAAGGTGGCCTTTGCTTTGCTGGAAGTACGCAAGCTGAGAGACTAGAGGGCGCTACGATTCAGCTCAAAGAATTCTGCAAAGAGCGGCAATTGCCCCTGAAGTTGCACAAGCTCTCCAAATCTAAGTTGAATTGGAAATCCAAAGCAATGCCCGAGCTGAGAAGCTCTGGCTATGACACCTATGTTGTGGTCAAGTGGCTAACACATGTGTGTGAGCGTTATTCTGCTGTCCTTCCTCGGGATCTATGTTTCGCCCTCTGGGCTGGGAATCATGTGCTCTCCATTCTTTCCAATGCTGGCAGGTTTCTCACGCCCCTGGAACAATCAAACAAAAACACCTTTGGCGATGCATTTATGCACGCGTATGTGCGACTTGCCAACGAAAGTATCTCTTCTGGGACAAGGCTTTTTAGGTTGAGACCGAAACTTCATATTTGGCACCATATCCTGAAATCACGCCCTCGTTCCAGGCTGAACAACCACTACTATAGCACGTGGATGGACGAAGATTTCCTCAAACGCATTATGAAGACGCACCGTCTTACAAGCAAGATGACAGCGCCGAAGCGCATGCTACAGAGGTACCTTCTAGGATTGCCAAAAATCTGGAGCGACAAAATGAGAAGCTCAGTCCCGGGCGTGCTTTGATGTTGGCGAGCCAAGATGCCAGGGAAGGGGCTTAGATAGGGTTCTTCCATATTCTTTTAGAGTGCATATACCATGGAACCATTCACCGCGGTCCCAAGGTTGTAGTGGAGGAGTTTAGGGTTTAGAGTATAGGGGTGTAGATGTCTAGGGGATTCAATAGGACTTTAGGGTTTGAAGGGTTGAGAGTGAAAGGGTTTAGGGGTTAAGGGGCGTAGGGCATTTAGAGGTTAGTGGCATACGGGTTTAGGGGTCAGGGGCATAGGGGTTTAGGGGCTAAGGGGCTTCGGGCTTTGGATGTATGTCTTCAGCTATATGAGGGTTGAGAGTCTAATCACTCCCGTTGTTATAAGACGCCGAATATTTGATATTTTCATGGGAGACCCAAACTTCGACCGCAAGACTACTTTTGAAGGGCCAGATTACTTTTTCAACAGGAGGCAGTATATAAGGGGGGGATTCAGATGTCAAATTTCGGGCCCATTCTTAAGGTCCCCACTTTCAAGTAATCTTGTCCCCTTTGAAACCAACCCCCAGCCCTGACATTTCCGAAGTTTCTCCTAAAAACCTTCCTTATTATTACATATATCGTGGGCCCCAGGAATATTCAATATTAGTGGGGATGTGTTTGAATAGTTCTGATTATAGGGATTGGGATTGCCTTGGAAAACCCTGAGCCCTACTGTGTAGAACCCGCCTGTTGCCAGACTTGAAGAACAACACACTTCTATCCCTACATACTTTGACAGCCCGAAACCTAACCCCCTTTTTTGGCCTTTTTCTTTTTTGACGTTTGCAACATTCATTTTTTCTTGGCTCAAGCTCATGTAGCCTTTGCATGCGTTGGCTGCTCACGCATGCCACACTAGCTTCAAATTTGTTGCTCATAGAGCGCAGCATGAGCACCATGCCTGAGGAAAATGCTGTACATACATGCAGGAAGGGCAAACATTCATAACCCTTTGGCCGTGAAAAGGTGGGTTGGCCATTGAGGGGCCTTTTCATGGTCGCCTGTGGTTTGGCCACCCTTTAATTGATCAAAGGACCCTCCAGGTCCGGAGACTTTTCATCGATGCCCAAGGTTTGCCAATAAACTTAGCCGGCAAGGTGGCCATCCTCGCATCGACGTCGCTCTCACAGGCCCTACTTGACAGCCTGCGTCTGTCAGAAGAATATAAATTTGCCGTCATGAAGAGTCCAGCGCCAGAAGTTCCCGTTGTGAAGGGGCACGCCACAGGGGAAGACGCCCCGATGAAAGTAGCCCTGCAATTCGTGAAAGCGATGGAAGCAAACGGCATCGAGGTCACCATAGCTGGGTCGTTGGCACGTAACGTCGCGACTGCTTGGCACTATTTCCGAGCCTTACTTTTTGATTCACTGGGGCCCTTCGTTCTTGTTATGTAGCAAGATCTAACTACTTCCGTGTAAGTAGGGTGCTGTTGTCGGTCGCTGAGGTGACAGAACCACGATTCACAAAGGATATCGATGTGAACCTGCGTCTCGGACCTGGCAGTGTCGACAAGTTTGTGGCAGCAGCGACAGCCGTCGGTGCTGAACTACGAAGTGAAACTGGGATTGGTTGGAAGAACTTTTGAATTTCCCGCAGCCGTAGGCATTGATCGAAACCTTTTGAACCGGTCAATTCAATAGCAGGGTCTGGGCAGCTCAGGAGATCGGGAGGCCAAGACGTGGACGGGGCATCCTTACGGATGACGAGGTCTTCCTCGTTATTGGAATCATCTACAGCGGCATTCCGATCGACGTTTTTTTCAACACTTGGTGGGGCAGTCGCTCGGTTGCTGTCATGTTGTGTGTTATTAAGTTATGCCGGGCCCTTGCTGAGTTCCAGTCGCACCCACAAAGAGCTTTCAGCAACCCAGGTCAAGATGCCGTTGATGATGCGTTTCTAGTAGAGGTTGATGGACAGGGTTGGCGCTTCATTTCTCCCACCAGTCTTTGTCTTTTCAAGATTTTGTTTCTGTCAGAGTCCTCTCCTGAGCGCGTTTTGCTAAAGCACATCGAGGACATTTATGCCTTGCTCGAAGTGTCAAAGATTCCGGTTGACCGCAGATATGTTTCTGCGTCTAGTGTCCAAACTACTACCCAGCACAGACTTTCGCTTTAAGCTTTGGCACGGCATCGCCAGCGGCGAGAAGTTGTCCAGCATACTCGCAAGGGCTTCGAACATGTAGCCATCCAAAACGGAATGGCCTGCCGAGACCGAAACAGTCGCAGCTGAAAAGCAAAATCATGATTTCGTGAGTGACTCTTACAAACGGCATGTAGGAGTTACAAATGGTGGCTGTCTTGCTGCGGGCCGCATAGTGGTTGGGGTTTAGGGTTTCTGGCTGAGGGTTAAGGGCTTGAATTACTTGTTAATTACTTGTCCAGTCCTTTCCTGCTGAAAAAAGGCTGTTGGAGGGGTAAGATGAAGTGGCTATTTGACGGTTGATCCAAATGTCAGGTTCTCGATCAGAAATATAATGAATATATCATATCGGAGACTCAATTAAAAAGGGCCCTGTCTTTAACCCATTTAGGGTCAGGGTCTACCTAGAGAATCGAAACCCTGGAAAAAAGACGGGTCTATTCACAAAACCCGGGTTTGGGGGACTTTTGCTATAAACCCCGGGTTTGGGATCGAAACCCCGGGTCTGGCAAATACACAAATGGGTAGCCTGACGTTGCGACTCCTTCCATATAAACCCACTAATCTTCCTCCCCATAATGATGATAAACCCTATAAACCTGGAGCCCTATGAACCCTTAACCGCCTTAAACCCTTGAACAAAAGCTGTGCCTCAGGATGCTCCGCCGCAGGATCAACAAGAGCGGCTTCAATAGATGTTTCAAGTGTCCTACCGAACCCACAGCCCCAATATCTTTAGTGCAAACCTATATATAGTATGGGAACTAAATACTTCTGGGTTATGTATATATGCTAAGGAGCTGCGGATTCTGTAGGATACGCCACGCCACTCATTCATTTGGTCTCATCTTTCCATATAGGGTATTTTATAAAGTTTCCTTCCTATATATACCCCCACAGGCCCCTGTAAAGATCCAACCTTCATGAGTCCCTGAATCTATGTACCTCGGGCAATGCAATGGCTCCGGGCACTTTTTGCATGAGCCAAATCATCCAGCCATGATCTCAGATGAACGCTTTCATCCTTCAGGGAAGCTTACTTTAACCTGCCGAAACTTACTTTTTGTAGGGTCCTATTATAAGTTTAATGTAGAATTCCTGGAGAACTTTCAATAAAGTAGGTTTCGGTAGGTTAAGGTAGAGACACGTATGAAAGTCCAATTGCATCACGCGCGCTCCTCTCAAGGGTGGTCTTTGCTAGGACACTCGCATCTTTGGTTGCCTTGTGCCAGTACTTGCTTTACCATGGCACCCAAGCGCATTCTTGGGGAAAGTCAGGAGCCAGGGCTTGACATCGCTGATGTTCACTTGGTATGGGATGGAGATATGGAAGTGCGTTCTCGGCTACGTGATGGTGGGAACATCTTACACCCATCCTCTGGCCTAATGTGTGACAATGCAGTGTGTGCCTTGAACTCCCCGATTTTGGGTCCCATCTTGTGCACCATGGCCAGCAGTCCGGACCGCAAACTTCCGTCGGTGACAGACCTGCGGTCAGAGATGACCATCCTCATGAGGTTCAACAAACGACTGGGCCCCGACGTTCAGACATTGGTATTGGCAGAGTCTATTCACATACGCAAACTCTTGTCTTTCGTGAAGGCAAAGGTGAGGCGTCATGAAGTGTCTTTAGCAGTTTGGCATCAGTTCAGGATATGTCATTCACTGTTTTTCGAACTATTACCCTTGTAATTGAAAAGTATGGAACCTCTCAGACTCACAATTCCTCTCAGGACAAAGTCTTTCAAGATTTGTGCCTGATGTTGGACCCTGGACTTCAGGACTGAATGGTTTCCTTTGCAAGGTTTGGGCTGATTCACTTAGTAATCCACGTAGCCGATCCCACTATACACAGGACCTTGTGGATCTTGGGAACCGACGAGCCGCTGCAAATTCCCGAACAACTCCGGAAGCCGAGGCAAGCCCACCAGGGTTTGTACAAGATGGCTATATATATAGTGTGGGTTTACAGGGATGTAGGGTTGAGAGGAATTATATAGGATTTATAGGGTAGATAGGATATATAGGATTTATATAGGGTTTTTACGCTATATATATAATAGGTTTATATATATATAGGATTCATATGGCTGATAGGGTCTATATAGGATTCATGGGTTTTAAGGGCTGATAGTAGGCTTTATAGGACTTATATGGGGTGTAAAATACAAAGGGTTGATAGGGCACGCAAGGATGTAACTTCCCAGTCCCAATTTACAAGCCTTTCAGCCTCCTCAGGCAGATGAGGATGACTATGATGCTGGGCCGGGCGCTCCTGCCCTGACTTCCCCTCCAGCCGCTGCAGCCTCTGCGCACACAGCACCGGCCGCCACGACTGCACCCCTCGCCACAGCACCGTCTGCTAGCACAGCGCCCCCAGCAGCTCCGACAACACCGGTGGCCACACCTCCAGCTGCAGCAACCGTGGCAGCAATGCCAGCATCAACAGCGGGGGCCGAAGCCCCAGCAATCATTGCAGCAGTGCCAGCATCAACAGCGGCAGCCGAAGCCCCAGCAATCATTGCAGCAGTGCCAACCACAACGGCCGTGGCCGAAGCCCCAGCAAGCATGGCAGCAGCACCAGCCACACCAGCCGCGGAAGCTCCAGCAACCCCAGCAGCAATGCCAGGCACAGCAGCCGTGGGCGGAGCCGCAACAAACGCAGCATTGGCAGCAGCATCACCAGCTACAACAGCATCGGTGCTAGCAGCATCTGGGCTTGACACGCCAACATCCGCTGGGCTGTACACGCCCGAGCCCAAACGGCCCTTCCTAGAATCCCCCAGCACTGGACCCAAACCGTGCAATCCAGCCGGCTCCCGTCAGCATGTACATGATCATGGGAAGGACGAGTACTCATAAAAACCCTTTATGTATTCAACTCATTGTAGCCGCCATAACCATTTTCTTGCCCTGAACAGATTGTGCAAACTGGTCATATTGTTTTGCAGGAGACACCTCATGCTGCTTCGAAGATTGCCTATGAACCTGCACCCGCTACGCCTTCAGGAGCCGCGGGGATGATCGGGTCCTAAAGCGTTGGGAACTATAATCATTGCACGGTGTCTCTTGTTACATGTTTTGGGGCTTATACGGCGACTTAGGGGGTTTACAGGGGTTATAGGGATTAGGGTTTGTAGGGTTTATAGACACTTCAGGGTTCAGCATTTCAGCAATGCAGGCGGGCGGCTTTCGGAAGCCAATCGCCATTCCATGCTGGAACGGGTTGCCTTCCTCAAGCAGCAGCTGGCTAGGAAGCTCGACCCCATTGTTGTAGCAGATAGTAACCCTTGTGCAAAACAATGACACCGAACGTCCAAACCCTCAGCCCAAGGATGCCAAGCAGGGATTCGGTATGCTCCTCGCCAGTGTCTACATGCAGCGGGTCTGATTTACGAGGACAGCCGTTATTCGAGGGTTCCCCTATGCAAACTTTCCTTACCCCAGCCAGGACCATCGAATCCACGTTTGTCTTGCTTGGCTACTGATGACACCCAGCCCTATGATGTTATGGAGGCAGCGATTCCAATGGACAGTGGCTTTGCTAAGTCCTTCGACCCCGAGCCTAGCCCTACTTCCTTCGTAGAGGGTGCGCCCACGGAAGCCGTGCCCGCGCAGGGTCCTGGCATGTTCACGGAGAGTGAGGGGGAGGCAGTTATGTAGGTTTTGCTCGGGATTTTTGAAGGAGTGCTTTATTCTGTAAATGAAATTCATTTAAACATGTCATTTTCGGCCGTATATGTGAATTGCCCCATCCAGAACACGAAAACTGTGCTGACGAGAAGGGACCAGTTGGATTTGAAACGCAAGATCCGGGAGTCTGAGGAGGGTGAGGGTGGGAAGGTTGTCAAGGCGAAGAAGCTCAAGCGCCGTAAGACCCGCAAGAGCTTGAAGAAAGGTGCCGAGAAACACGGCATCAGCCGCAGGCGCAAGCTCCTCATGGTTGCCAAGTCTGGCGCGGAGGATGTTGACATCGAAGTCCACAAGGAGAAGACGAAGAAGAAGCGCAAGGCGGTCGCCATTGTGGAGGAGCCAGAGGAGCCGGAGGCGAAGATCCCGAGCAAGAAGGCAAAGGGCCGGCCACCCAAAGTGGCCGCCAAAGCCAAGGCAAAAGCCTCCCCAAAGGGGAAGGCAAAAGCCAAGGCAAAGGCGAAGGCAACAGCCAAAGCAGCGCCTAAGGGGAAGGCAAAAGCCAAGGCGAAGGCCAGAGCCAGAGCCGATGCAGAGGTTGATGGTGAGGCAGCTCCTGCCTTGAGCAACGTCCATGCAAGCTTTATGGATGTGGAGTCGGCCGAGGGCATCAAAGCTGCAATGGTGAACTTTGCGGGGATGGCCCGGGATCCCGAGTGCACATCCAAGAACAAGTTGAAGATGAAGGCTGAGCTTGAGGACTTCAAGACCGTGAACCTCACCCATTACTGGACCAGGTGCAGTTGTGGTATCCTTCGCAAGGCTGACAAAAAGGAGGTGGCCTACATCAGCGCCACAGGCTTCACAAAAGATGCTACCTGGGCCATGAAGATGTTTGTGAATGCAAAGGCGGCAGAACTCATCGCTCGATGCCTGGATGGCCTCGTTGCAGATGGGATCCTCGAAGAGGACTATGGCGAGGATTGTGAGCAGCTGCTTGAGCTTAGGGCAGTTACGCGTGAACAGAGCCTTGTGGCAATCCAGGAGCTGATGCAGGCGTGACCAAAGGTCAGTCAGCAAGCAATGCCGGCCATTTTGCTCTATATGTCTTTCAAGGTTCTGCTGTGATGGTGTGGTCAGTACATAGATGACCGAAGGGGAACCCAAGTTGTGGAACGATTTGTGCGGTGGGTTCGGTCTGTGGTGCTGGCAGGCTCTTTTCATGCAGCACGACCCCAATCTTAAGGCCTGTAGGCTGTACCCATATAGAGCGTCCTTGACAACCCTGGCCAGAGGAACGAGTGCAATTCTAATTTTCGAATGGATCACCCACCCAAACACACCTGTGAACAATTGTTGCTCAACCATTCTGTGTATTCGGGATTGAGACTATATGGATTACGTAGTTCCTGGTGAGGCGTCAAGGACTTTTGCGGCAGTTCACGCTTGTTGGCTTGTTGGCTTCAACAACGGTAAAGGACAATGCAGGGGAATGGGTTCCGTGCTACCTCCATTATATGCCTATTGTTTATGGAACTTTAACTAAATCGGGTTGAGCCTGTAGAAACGCCTCAGCTTAAGATTTTATTAGACCACGGAAGCTATTCTCCTGTGCAGCAGCTGTGTGAGCGCGCTGGCCGTCACCGTCCAAAAAAAGAAGCCTCAGCTAGGACAAATTTCAAGCGTGCCCACCAAGTCTGTTTAGCATGGATTCCGCAGCAGGAGTGTCTGCGCCGTTCTGATTATCCTGCATTGTGCCCCGTAACCCCTTCGCATGACCCTTTGTAATATGCTGCTTCGGCCAAGGTCCCGAAATGCCATTGGTACCGCGTCACGCCCTCTGGAAACTGCGGCTTCAGAAGGAGCACGACAAGAGTAATGCCGACGTGTTCTTGAGGGTTTTGCAACTTCACGGAATGGAATATGACTCCCTTGCATAGCCGCATCAGGATGAAGCATGTGCTGCATGCAGTGTTGGCGCTTTCCAAGTCTGATGTTCTCACGCCAGTACACATGCATGTGTGTGCAGGATTTTCAGACAAATTGTCGCATCACGCAGGGAAAGAGGGTCAAATCTTCCAGAACAATGAAACCCATATAGGCCTCGTAGACTCAGCCGCCCCAGCCATGATCAGCATCGATGTCCTCTGCTTCCGTTTGGCGCAGCTGAGATGTTCTAAGGCTGCCTTCCCGCGCTTGAAATATGAACATGTCCTCTGATATTCATGAGATGTTACTTGAACAAGCCCCAAAGCAATCTTTGCATCCTAGGACTTCATCCTCACTGTCTTGATGGTCATTTGGTGCGTGGGCGAAGCTACGCTCCAGGAGGCTAGGGGAGCACGTAAATGGACGGTGAGGGTTTTACCCAAGTCTGATTCTGTGGAATTGGCAGGAGTATGAATTTCTTGAATTCTACGCAGGCAGGGGCAACCTGCAAAGAGTTTTGAGGTCAGCTGGCCGCTTGAAGGCGGCAAGGTTTGATCTGATTGATGGTGAACAAGGGCGTAAGCACAAGCGTCGCCGAAGCAACTTCATGGACCTCACGAGCTCAAGTGGGTTTGCGTGCTGTAGCTGAATTAAGTCAGCCATGTCTTTTCAAGTTGTTTGTGAACTGTTTGTAACAACCTCCAACGCATGGCAACCTAGTCTTGCCATCGTCTTCATTCTCAAGCTGGTGCCGAATGCTCTTGTTCACTTCGGAATCAAATGCTCGAGCTTTTGCGCCGTCAACAAGGGCACAAGTGGCAGGGCTCCATGTGCTTCCAGTGGCTACTTGAAGCATGCCTCTGTGGCCATGGCCAATTTGATGCTTGAGAGGAGTGCTTCCTTGGTATGTAGAATTCAGTATTGTACAGGGAGTAAGAATTCTGATGCCATATGCCAGTCACACCCTGGAGGACAACACTTTTAGTATTATTGGCAACTGCTGTTGGGGCTGTCTGGACACTCGAGCAGCCAGTAAGATCCGTCCTGGAATTTTATCCGTGTTGGCGGTCCATGATGCAAAGCCTTTGTGACCTGGGCGGGCCTTACGCAGCCGAAATCTTAGCTGTATGTGTGTGGTGTTTTTGTATAATAGGCTCTTTGAAACCCCTGCTAGCAAGCAAGGTCACCAAAGTATCGTTTTGGATGGCTCACTACTTTTCCAGAACTCCAAAGAGACATTATATCTGCGGGAACACGACTGCCGTAAGCGAGTTGAACAAAGGGCGCCTGAAGCTCGCCAAGAACCGCGCCCGGGTTCAAACAGTTCGTCAGTGCAAGAACAAGAACGGAAAACGATGTTACGCTGGCACTTCGCGCTTGCGACAGACAGAGTGTCTTGTCTTAATGAATGTTGATGAAATAGCTTCCTCACAGTGGCTGGCGGGGGCTGGAGGGGGTCTGGAGGGGGGTGGAAGAGTCTGGGGGTGCGTGGGGTTTGGGGGGTGTGTGGGGTCTGTCTGGCGGTCTTCTGGGGTGACGGCTAGTGATTTTTAATTGCCTCTATGTACTGGGTGTTGGGGGGTTTGGGAGGGGGTCGGAATTGGGGTTCTGGGCTGTATTTTCAAATGCTGGTGTTGATGGGTTTGGGGTGTTGGGGGGGGTCTTGGGAGCTGTTTGCTTACGCTCTGCTCATTTTCAGTTTGTTGGCTTGGGGAATTTGGGGGAATGATGCAAGCCCTCATCCCAGGCAGTATCCTGTTGGCTTCGCCGTCCACTTTCTGCGCATCATCCGTGACCTGCAGCTGCACAAAATGCAACTTCCAGAAGTGACCCCTGATGTTCCGCCAGCTTTGCCGTTACTGTGTGAGATGCCTTGGAATGCAAACCTCCAGGATTTTTTGGCAGGCTGACTTGGTAGAGGTTTACGCGTACTTGAGAGGAAGCAAGACGTTAAGGATGCCGCCCGAATGGGCGAGGGTTATGCCTCACCGTCTTATGTGAGTGTTGAAGAAAGTTCCTGGGAAGGTCAAAGAGTGTGATAACACTCATCTGTTTGGAGCCCAATGAGACTTCTGCTTGGCGTTGACAGGGTTTTTCGGGGATTCTCTGTTGGCTTCGGATTCGGGATTTGGTAGCTTCGGGAATATAATGTGAGTAGCAAGCTTCGGGAATTTTAATTGCAGTTCATGATTTCAGGGCTTCGGGAAAAGGCGTTACGGAGGGCTTCGGAACTGTATATATACAAGCCTCGGGACGTAGGGCTCGGGAAATCATAGGCCACAATTCGGGAATTTGTTGGGGGTTCAAAGCAGGCTCGGAAAACTATAGGGATAAACTCTTCGGATTCTCCAGGGTCAGCCTTCGAGATTTGTGAGGTTAGGTTTCGGGATTTTTTGGGCTCGAGCCTTGCTTTTTATAGATTATTTAGAGTAGCAAAAGAACATAAGGGATTATAATACAATTTTCACGAAAATGTAACATTCTGGGCTGATTGGGATACACATAGGATCTGAACCCGTGCCAAACCCGTCCCAAACCCGTCCCAAACCCAGCCGTGATTTTCCAACCTCTAAGACCCCCTAACCCGTGATATTCAGCCCCAAACCCAGGGTTTTAGGGAAACCCCGGGTTTAGGACAACCCGTGACGAACCCGTGATTTACCCATGCCAAACCCATGATTTACCCGTAACGCCGTCATGGGTAAACCCCGGGTTTACACTATGGGTCCAGAGTGCTCCAAACAGCAGCCTTTCAAGGGGCCGAAGAGGATGCCAAGCAGTTGCAGCCTCGAATTAAAGGGCTGTGTTTCTTTTCGCAGCCGTAGAGTGGGAGGACATACGTCTCCAACAGACGGGAGCAAGATCAAAAGCCGTTCTTCTCTAGCGTGAACCCACATTGTAGCTTCGGTAAAGTACATATACAGTGTTCTGAAGCATGTTGAAAGGCCAGCGCAAGTTCTTGAGGAGGCGTTGCGCTGGCATGTCTGCAGCATTCGCTTTTGACTGCAGGTCTCTTTCTGAGTTTTGGGTTGTGGGGATAGAAAAAATGGTCAACCCTGCGGTGTCCAAGCTTTGGTCATGTGGAACGCTGCATGATGGAATAGCGCACGTCTTGCAAGCATCTTCTACGCTCGATGAAGAAGCAATGCTTCGGGAGTTGGAGGACAGACTATTTTTGAACACGCGTAAGAGCTTCTTCTACGTATATATACGTTGTCAGGACTTGGAAAAGCAACTGGCCCAAGACAAGGCTCGCCCCATACTAAAGTGCTTGCTAAATGTGAATTCGATATACCCATGTACCGTGCGGTGGTTAGACTTTGGTGTCCTCATGGTTCGTATATGTAAGCCCAAATCCCAAGAAGTTATACGGGCAGCTTTTGTTGTGGAATCCTTCCTGCGTCTATAGGCGGCTTCTATCTGCGAGCCGGGTACTGAAGATGCTACGATCCCTGTATGGTCCTCAGGTATTCAAAACATGTCAAGAAATATCCCATCCTATCGCATTCAATCTCACACAAATTCCCAAATTTGCTTTCTATCAAGGCAACGCTGAATCAGCTTATGGCCATGGGCCTGGATGGACAGGATTTCCCTGACACCTACCAGGACGATGCGAATCAAGAAACCTCAGATCATGATGGTGATGTGGCGGCCACTGATGATTGCTACATGGTAATATCTGATTCCGAGCCTGCGGAGTTCGCAAGTTCTGAAGAATCTTTTCAGCAATCAATCTCATTACGTGAGCTTGCGCTGTGTTGATACCACTTGTCTTGCGTATGCTCCCTGAAGCATGAACCTTTTTCAGGACCCGAGCAGCGAGAACCTGTTAGAGAAGGTGCTTTACATTTCCCTAGCGTCAGCAGTCTTGTGTATATAGAGAGCATGCCGTTCGGCATCCTCATTGCTGCCAGGCTACTGCTGCAGAAATGATAGCGGCCCTTGCCGACTGCGCTGGAGATTCCGATGGCGAAGGGGATCCTTCGAACTTGTCTGTCAAGGAGGAGATGGATGGGGAAGGAGGCCCTCTCGGGAACGTACGGCGCCAGCCGACGCGGCAGGTGGCTAGCGTTCGCATTTTACACGCATTCCTTTTGCTCAGGGGGTCTTATGGTGTGTTGTTAGAATTGCTTCTGGCCCCAGGAGCTGTTGATCAGAGCGGCCAAAGCCAGGATCCAACGGATGGTGACTGCTAAAAGCAAGCGCAAGGACCTCGAAGTTCCAGACTTTGTGCGAGATGAATGGGCCAACGGTAACCGCTCGGCCATGGCCAAGATTCTTCAAGACGTGAACTGGAACAAGGCCGATCGCTTGAAACTTTGTCAAACCATTGGCAAACCTCATGACATGTCCCAAAAGAATTCTGATTTACAAGCCCATTCCAAGTCTCAGATTCCTATTTGTATGTTGGATACCCTCAGGAGTTGCCAAAGCTAAGTATACATAGGCTTAAGTCCCCCAAGCTCCCGCAAGCTCCTCATATGAACCATCCTTGTCCAGGAGAAGTTCGTTGCCCAGGTCGAGGTCACCATCAAGTCAAAGCACCTGGTGAAGCTAGTAGTGGAAGAAGGTTGGTATTCCCGCGAGGAAATGATTACGGATTTGAAATGGAGCGAGACTCTTGCCTTACCTTATGTACGGTGGTTGGTGCCTGTAAACAAGCGCATGTACGTTGAAGCTATGAATACTTAAGGTCCAGGGTGGAGGGATGTTAAACGGGACCTACTACAAACCCATTCGCCAAACCGAACATCTGGATAACTGCTCTCCATCACGGATCGACCGAAATCCATTGGAGCCTGACGCCTGCGCAGCAAGAACACAGCTCACGACAGATTTATTTTAGACTACCTGACGACATCCATAGGCAAATCGCTACGAACCAAGCACGGGAGAGTTCTGGAAACTACCAGACGACGTGCTGAAGCAAATCCCAGCAAAACTACGGCGGGCCGGCCCAGCTGACATTCTGCAGTATTCGACATACCGTGACCAGCAGACACAGAAGAAACTCAAACGCAGTTGCCACGGGACAACGAGATTGTCGAGATATGTCCTGCACGTTGCGCACAGCACCTGAGAGCACTACGCAGACCTCGTCCAGCGCCACCAGCGCGCCGGTCACAACGATGATCGCAAGCACCGCCAAGAAGACGTCCACGAAGCCGATGAAGAGGCAATGCCGTTTCAAGAAAATAAGGAGGATGCTCCACCCGAGAGTGCAACTTAAAACAAAAAATCGACGAAATTTTCAGGATGCTCCGCACGGGAGCACGGTTTTTTCAATACTTTCAGAATGCCCCGCAGGGGAGCACGATCTTT